TAGTCCTTCCATCTATAGTGCCTTGATATAGAGTGAGGTGCCAGTAGCCAGACCATCCACAGGGCCTTGCACCACAACCCCATGGACTGGGTCTCCGGAGATTCTTCGCACCCTCTTCTGCCGGATACTGAGGGCCATTGTTATTTCCGTCATCATAAGTATTATTTTTGGCTATTTTTTACGCAGGACGCCCTTCCTTACGCAACCACAGTTTTAAGCGGTGGGCCTAACCTTTGATGATCCAACATCACTCACAAGGCAGTGAGGATCAGTTTTATGTCATAGCCAATCATAACATCATTCATTCATTTGGACAACTATGAACTACATATAACAATATCACAAACTATTACAATGATGATGGTTAGGGTTAGGTGATAAAGGTTACCGAAAAAAGCTTTCACGTAAATGTATATATGAAAAATGCAGAATAAAACAATTCAAAAATTTATTATTAATTTGAATAAGTTGAATAATATTGATTAAATAATTGTTCAAAAAATTGAATAAATTAGTTACAAACTCGACCGTGCGGAAAATGCGGTTTAATTTCTTAATAACTGTATATACGACAGTCTATTATCAATTTGGTTTCCAAGCGGGAAATCAACAATTGATGCAATTCACATCCTTCGGCAACTGCAAGAGAAGTGCCTCGCAAAAGCATCAACAACTATCACACATTTTTGTAGACCTTGAAAAAGCATTTGATCAAGTTCCCCGTGAAGCAATCAGATGGAGTCTACGTCGACAATTCATTCCAGAATATCTTGTTCGATTTGTGATGGAAATGTATACAAATACTAAGACTCTTGTCAGCACAACAGTTGGAAACACATATGCATTTGACATCGGCGTTGGAGTTCACCAAGGCTCGATTCTCAGTCCACTATTATTTATAACTGTGATGGAAGAAATCACAAGGCCGATACGCACTGGTGACATTTTGAATCTAATATATGCTGATGATCCATTGTTTTAACAGCCACGTCTGAGCAGAATGGTGTAGGTAACAATTCAATCAAGTGTCGGCAGTGTAACCAGTGGTGTCACAAACGTTGTTCAAAAATAATTGGTAATTTATCTAAAGTGTCCAATTTTGTTTTTCCTGCTTGCATCAATCCACAACAGCAAATTCGAAATAGCAATGTTTTTGAAGCCATTAAGGTAGAGAAAGTCTAGGGAATGTTCTGGATTGTACTGGAACAGCCTAAGCTGCCGTTCGAGCACGCATACGTGCAGCCTGGAATAAATCGCATCTCCTTGCCTTTATATTGATGCGGCGTGACATCCCACTACCACCTAGATCAAGACTTTATAAATCTGTGAGAACTGGGTCTCTGGACGCTAAACGATGATTGATTGATTGATACGACAGTCTATACATATAAAGAATGACATACATTTTCTAAAACTATTTATATATGAGGTGATGAAAACTAGACGTTCATTGCTCTGGAGGAACTTTGTCTCCACGGTTTTTGAAGATAATTCGTGTAGAGAATTTTTTTCCGGATGTTTACCGCTCAAAAGGTATTTTGTTCAGGAGTTTTTCCGGGATGTTCATTTTGTTCGGAGACTTTTTGTCAGGGATATATTTTTTCGGGTGGTATTTTGTCAGGGATTCTATTGCTTGAGAGGTATTCTGTTTGTTTTTTTGACTGGAATGTTTATTGCTCTGTAGGTATTTTACCCGGGAAAGTTTGTCCGAAATTTTTATTTCTCAGAAGTATTTTGTCTGAATGGTTTTTGTTCACAAGGTATTTTGCCTTAAAAAATTTGGTCCTTGAAATTTTATGCTCCATTTTGTCTCAAGAGTTTTATCCTCAGGATCTTTTTGTCCGGATCTTTTGTATAAAATCTTTGTTTTAAAACGAGTTAAATTTATTGACATAATTATACCAAGAGTTTCTTTTTTTATATAAAATGATCATGATATTAAATAATTAAAATCTTTAAAAGAATACTAACCAACATGGTCATCAGAACAAATACAACCAGCATCTTCTTTATGTATACAATTTGCTTCACCCCAATTCGTCAACTGACATTCATCAATGTTATTTTCATTGCCATTACATTTCACACTTCCTAACCAGATTGGAACTTCAGAATCTTGAAGTTCTTGATAAATGTTATTGTTGTTTTTCACACAATTGTTATCATTGTATTCTTTCACACATGTCCCATTGCTAAAATTTGGTTACATTAATCAAAACTCATTTCAACATATCCTATATATTTATAAAAAAAAATGTATATCAAATTTTTTTAATCAAATTAATCAATTTAATCAAATTTTCACTTGTGGTTCAATTAATAAAATATTGAATTAATATTGGTCAATTGACACTCAATATATAATATAATATTTTCTGCATTTTTGAAAAAAAGATGCTAACAACTAAACTTAACACAAATAAAATGAAAAGATGCAAATTATTTAAGAAATTCAATCACTGGTGCTAGTTTGAAGCAATGATAATTTTCAAGTTTGACCAAATTTGGATATAGAACAGAATTATAATTAATAAAAATAAGTTAAACGGTTTGATTTCACTGCCCATTAGGAAACTTGTTTCTGAATCCAAACTTGTCACTCTTTCATTATTTACGTATTCAAAAATTGCATACAAAAAATACATACAGACTTTGTTTGAAAAATAATAAATATTTTACCGCAATTTGAACTCTGATCCAGCTGCTTATAGATTCATTTAAGTTAAGCTTGAAAGCTACATATAGAGTGTCCATAATCGTAAATTAGAAAAAGAGGACAACGGACTAAAGAATAAGAGATTTTCGCCAAAAAAAGAGGACAAAGAAAACAATTTTCTTCATTAAATGTCACCATATCAGTCCAGGGCATGACATAAAACTGCATCCACGGTGTCTTGCATGCTTTTGAGCAAAAGGCTAGGCCCACCGCTTATAACTGGTAGCGGATGTAAAAACTTTCCCCAAATAATTCTATGCCATAAAAACAAAAACAACGGTCTCTAGTCCCAAGTGGGAAAACTGGTACCAAAGGCCAGCATGAACGGGACACGTACTGGTAGAATGACAGTGTACAGAATGCAATAGCTGAAAAGAAAACTGCATACAAGCAACGGCAAAAATCAAAGTCTGTTGATGAACATAAAATTTTCCGTGAGAAAAACAACTATGCAAAACGTCAATTCGCACTGGCTTGGACAGATCAGTGCAGAGAGTGGCAAACTATAAGCAAAAGTGAACAAATGAAATCTCTGTATCGTATAGCAAAACAAACAAAGCGTACAAAAAAAAACATAGTTGGTGCCTTATGTATCAAAAACGACAAAAATGAGATGGTTCTTGAACAAGATAAGATCAAGCTACAGTGGAAAGAATATTTCAACCGTCTGTTTAATGAAACAAATCCCATCAATATCAACTTTGACGCTTCACCCATCGAAGGTCCGATTCCAGACATCACTCAGAAGCTCTGAAAGCTATGAAAGATGGAAAGGCAACAGAGCACTTCGGACTCACAAATGATATTATCAAAGCATCTGGTACTGCAGGTATCCAAACGTTACTACAACTTTGCCGTGAAATCTGGAGAAATTGCTCAATGCCGACTGAATGGAACTATAGCATGACAGTCCCGCTATACAAGGGCAAAGGTGATCCATTGAACTGTTCATCATATCGGGGTATACGTATGTTAAAACACTCCCTGAAAATTGTCGAGAAAATCATTGAGAGAAGATTAACGTCGTGCATCACAATCGGAAATTATCAATTTGGTTTCCTAGCGGGGAAATCAACAATTGATGCAATTCACATCCGTCGGCAAGACTGGCTGATCATGGATTCAAAGTCAACAACAGCAAAACCAAAGCAATAAACACTGGTGAACCCATTCAATCCACAGCTACTGGACGATGGCCCTGTTCAGTTTGTAAAGCTGGTGTAAGTAACAATTCAATCAAGTGTCAGCAGTGTAACCACTGGTGTCACAAACGTTGTTCAAAAATAATTGGTAATTTATCTAAAGTGTCCAATTTTGTTTGTCCTGCTTGCATCAATCCACAACAACAAATTCGAAATAGCAATGTTTTTGAAGCCATCAAGGTAGAGAAAATCACATCGTTTCAATATCTAGGGGATGTTCTGGATTGTACCGGAACAGCTGAAGCCGCCGTTCGAGCACGCATACACCTAACCCTAACCCAATGACAACCAAACTGGAACAACTACTTCACCGCACCGATATGAAAATGCTCTGATGGATGCAACGAATTTGTCTGAAGGACCACATCAAATCTACCAAAATTCTACGTCGTGCTGGTTTAGATGATATAAAGAACGAATGCCGGCAACACCGTCTGAGGTGGTTTGGTCATGTCAAACAAAGTGGAAACCGTGCCATAACTTCTCTTGCAGATGTTGAAGTACCTGGCACACGTCCCAAAGGCCGTCCAAAAGAGTCCTTGTCGCAAACAATCGAGCAAGACATGAAAGCTCTAAATTTAAATGAAATTGATACAACTAATTTGGCGCAAAAAATTGATGGCAAAGAAAACAACGTCCTACCTCGAGAGAACTGGGTCTCTGGACGCTAAACGATGATTGATTGAAATGTCACCATATACACACAAATTAAAAATTGATATAAATACTCTGTTATTTTGATTAATATACTTAACAATAATAATTAAATAACGTTGATTGACAACAGACATGAAAACTTCTTTTAGTAAGTTTTTTTGCAAAAATGTTATCAACCTAGATTACGATCATCTTTCATATTTTCCCCAAAATTTAGACAAATAGAAATATAATTATAAATTACGATTTTATATCTATTTCATTGCGTATCTAATAAATAAGATGGAGCATATAAAAATTTCATCATTTTCTTTTCGTTCAATTTACAATTAATAAAATTTGATTAAATAATGAAGAATATCAAGACTAAATAATTTATCAGTTGATTGTTGCAATGTAAAAACTAAGACCTGTATCCTAATTGTTTGCAAACAACACGGCATACCGGATTTTTCAATTCATCATCACAAACCGTGCCCCATTTGTTATCATGCAGGACTTCTATCCTACCTTGCGCTTTTATGTTTCCTACACTGCCAGTTAACCTAACTTTTGTTGGATTACCTGGAAAAATCATTGAATGATCTTTAAATTTCAATAAAAACTAGGTGTACGTAGCCAGAGGAGGGGAGCTTTGCAGCTGAAGCACCCCACAATAGACATTTTTTTTAAAGTTAAAACTAAGTTAAATTAAATTAATATTAAGTTAAAATTTCAATTTTCAACAAATTTTTTATAAAAACTTTTTAAAATAATGTAAATTTTATAAATTTGTTAAAATTTGTTTAAACTACTTAAATTAAAAAACACTAAAACAACAACTTTTTGACAAATTTGAATAAAAAAACACAAGTTTTCGATAAGTAAATCAAAAATAAATGTAAAAATGAAAAAAGATAGATAAATTTTCTCCTAAAAATATTTTAGTTTTATACCCCCTCACAAAAATTTATGGTTACGACACTAAACACCAGTTCATAATAAACGATAAATAAAATAAATATAAATGTAACTATGTAACGTGTCTGATTTGAAAACAAGTTACTTACCTGCTAAAATTTCGAAAAGATTATAACAAATAATAAACATTATGAAACTCATGTTAGACGTACGAACAAACATATTTAAAAATTAAACGGTTTCATATATATATATATATAGAATAAAATAGACGTAGTAAAAGGAAATTTAAGTTATTTTAAAATTTTGAATAAGAATTGAACTATACTACTTTAAATTTACGTTAAGCGGAAATGCAACAGCTTCAGATTATATTTCACTTGCAACCATTGAATTATATAAATAAAGTGAAATAAAGCGTTTTATTTATGCACTAGGCTTACAGTGAATTTGATCTTAAATTTGGCCAAACGTAAAAAATGTAGTATTCGAACACCACTGATAATGTTATTTATTCGAACTAATCGTTATTAGTTCTTATATGTAATTGACTCGTGCAGCGAATGAGTCTAAGATCTCTGCCAGTAAAATTATCTCTGGGGAAAAAATATTTCACGTTAGTCTTCTTCATTGAATTATATATATTGAATGGTCTTCTTCTTCTCGCTTTTTCTTAACTCGTGTTAAACACTCTTTTGCCAAATCTGCTTTTGCTTTTTCTGGTCCTTTTCTCTGGAACTCTACCATGGAATTATATAACTGGAAGCGCCCTACCAGCGTTTTAACATTGAACATTTTTTCAACGGGCAAGTTACCTCTGGAAGCAAGTACCTAAAAATTAATTATTCATGAGAATTTTGGTTTATTTTTAGAAAAATTTAAGATATAATTAGAAAAATCTTGGCCTTCCCGAAGTTATGTTAATGACTCTTTGCCGATCTGCATTCAGCTCGTTTGTTAAAATTTATTTCGTTTTCAACATTCCGTGAAGTTTTAGGTTAATTAATAAGGTTTTGCCGTTTATATAACCGTATTTAATCGTTTAAATAGATATTGCCATTTTTTTGGTGCATCAGAAAAATCGAAAATTTATTCGTAAGCGATCCTCATTTTTCTGAAATAAAGATTTCTTCATTCATTTTCCCAGCACCCACGAATCAGGATGATGATGGACTTCATTCATATCATTTCATTAGAGTAAGAATCATTCATAAATTAAATTAGAATCTAGAAAACGAAAAGAAGTCGATAAAAATCTTATTGTAAAAATGAAATGTTATAAATATTTAAAAAATATAACATAAATAAACATAATCAATTTATTATTTGTTATAAATAATCAACTAATAATTTTTAAATTAAGATGTAGTAATTCCTGTGCATATGACGTCCTAAACTGGAATCTTTCAACTCCCCAAAGCTTACAATACAAAAGAATATTTGCTTTCAACATAATATACCAAAACCAAATTTAATCACACAGGGGAGGTTTTTAAAATTTATTTTGGTAGTAAAAGCAAACAATCTTTTTTTTCTGTTTATTAAACTTTAAAAGCTATGATTTATATAATATTTATTAATATATTAAATTAATTATATAATAATTTGTTAAAATCAAATTTTTTAACTTTACTATTTCAATTGTAATTGACATTATTAATATATTAAAAAAATAATAGTTTAATTAATATTAAGCTAACATGAAATTCATTATACTATTAATTTAAAACGAACAACTGTTGATTTTTAATAGAATAGGTATGTAATGTTTAATAATTTTTAGTTTAACATTACTATTTATAAAATAACCCTGAAGGTGCTAGATCATGACAACACACGTTTAGACGACATTTTCCCCGAGATCGGGGGTTGCCGTTTGGCTACCTATCATGAAACCGAAATACCCCTCGACGCCATCCACATCTGTCACTCGCCTCAGTATCACGCAACCCCGCTTTCACCCTGTCCTTCTCCACCTGCTCTCTCCATCCCGATCGCGGACGACCCCTTCCTACCACTCCTTCAACCTCGAACTCCAACGCTCGCCAATCCCGACCCTTTTATCCCTTCTCAACACATGTCCATACCACCGCCAGACCCGCCGACAGAAATTTCGGGCCCCTAGGCTGGACTGTGACGGGCCCCCTGATGACCGCGGAAGATAAACCTCTAAAGTATCTTATTTTAGGTTACATGACATTCAAAAAAATTCGCATGTCTTATACGTATACTACTTGTACCTTAATATTTATAATTTAAGATTGACCGATATAGCCAACAAAAACAAAGTATAGTTTTATTCAGTTTTTATTTGAAAAAAAACATTAAAGTTTACTTTTTAAATTAAATATCCAAATGTAACAAATCGGTATTTATTGTTTTAGAAACAAACTCTCCTTGATTTGGCTAAGGTAAAATTGTTAATAACGTCATCAAAATTCAATAACTTTGCCAAATCATGTTCAATCGCCAAAGTCGCAAGACCGTTCAATCGTTCTAGTTTCATAGTTGACTGCTGCACACTTTTTATTTGCTTCAGCTTGCTGAATGTCCTTTCAGCTTCTGCTACAGTTACAGGAATTGTACAAAAAATTCGTAAGGCAATAGCAATATTTGGAAATATAGATTCCAATTTCAACTGAAATTTTATTCAGCAGTTTTATGGGATGAAGATTTTCACTCTGTATGGTATCCGAATAACTTGATTTTAGACATTTCACTTCATTAATTAAGTCACTGCTGACATCTTTGTCATATTCTTTGCAGAAATTAGAACATTTCTTTTCCAGATCACTTTCTCCAAGTTCTGTAAATAACCACAAAAAATTGAAAGAATTGTTAATATTTCTAGCCATATGGAAACGCTCTGTTAAACCAGATATATTATCGATAAGTTTATAGAAAACGTTCACTTTAAAATCATCATCCACTTCATGTTGTGCACTTTTTTCTGGCATATGTTGATTTTCATCATAAAAACGTTTTCGTCGTTTTTGGCGTTTTTCTGGAAGTTCTGTTTCACATGAAATATCCGACGACATAGTTTCTGCTGTTATTTTGGCTTCTGCTAGCAATAAGTCCCATTTTTCACGTAGATCTTTCAGTTCCCCAAGAAGAATGTCGATGTTTTCTACTTCTACATCCAATGTGGCTTCTCTGGCTTGAATAATTTTGTTTCGATTGTTTATAGCAAATAAAACTTTGAGCCATATTGTAGCCATTAAAACACACTTGAATGATTCCATATAACGCTCAATTCCTTGCAATTCAGTCTTACTTTCTGATGACAAATTTAATTCTTTACATTTAACAATAGCATGTTTGATAATTGGCAGGTGCTTCGCAATCGGTTTCACACTTTCCACACGTGCCGACCATCTAGTTTGAGAAAGATTATGCAGTGAGCATCCAGTTAATCTCTGTAGAATTTCCCATCGTTGAGGACTGTACGCAAAGAAATTGTACAACTTTTGAACTATTCCAAAAAAAGTTATAACGTCATTGCAATATTCTGCTGCATGCATACCGCACAAATTTAAACTATGGGCGCCACAATTTGAAAATTTCGCTAGAGGATATGCATGTGCAATGATTGCTTGTGCTCCTTTGAACTTTCCTGCCATATTTGAGCCGTTGTCGTATCCCTGACCTCGACAGTCATCCAGAGAAATTTTGTTTTTCTCCAGTTCATATTTGATCATATCTGCAACATCCTGGCCAGTTTTTTTGTTATAATCAACAAATGCAAGAAAACGTTCTTTGACCGAAAATTTTGAGTTGCAGTTTTGTACATATCTCAGAATGAAAGTACTTTGTTCTGTATGAGAACGATCTGGTGTAGCATCTACCATAATTGAAAAATACTTAGACCTTTCTCTCTCTGCCAAAATTTCTTGAATAACTTTTGAGCTGCATGCTTCGATAAAGTCATTTTGAGAATCTGCTGATAAGTAATGAACCTGAAGGCGTTGTCCAAGTTTTTGAGATTTTTGAACTTTAGAAACATGCTCTTGTAAAAACGGATCAAACTGAGCTAACAGTTCTATAATCCCAAGGAAATTTCCATTATCATGGTCATCAATTTTGTTGGAAGAACCTCTGAATGCAAGTCCTCTTTCACCCAAAAATAAAACCACTGCTAAAATTCGTTTAAGCAATTCTTTCCAGTATTTTACTTTTGTAGCAATTTCTTTATCAATCTGAGACTCTATATTCTTTCCAAAGAGAAATCTTCTTTCTGAATCGCGCCACTTTATATAACATTTTTTATGACCGTCACTTTTTTCATGAGCTAGTATTTTATCGTACACTACGCCATGTTTTTAGTTTTGACCATCCTTGATCACTTGACAAAATTGATCTGCAAGATACGGCAATTTCACTAAATAATCTACATGGGAAACAAAACAGGGATTCTTTTTCTTTACTCCATACCAATCCCTTTCACAAACATCTCCGTTTTGTCTGGACACCTTTAAAATGCACGTCGGAAAAGCTCTTTGTCCATCTCCCGGAAAATTGTCCGGGTGTCTAGGTGGACCGTTTCGAATCACGGTTTCTATAGTCTGTGTGGGTATTGGCCCGGCTGGCAAAGTACCAACGTCAAATCCAAATCTTTCAACAGTTTCTATGTTTACAGAGGCATCATTATCTTTTATTATATTTACACTGTCATTATTTTGAGTTTGGATATCGCTATTTCCATTTTCATCCAATCGGTGCGATTCTGAAAATTCTAGCCCTATCGGACAGTCAGGAGACTCAGCCGAAGTAGGAAAATTTACGGCTGTCTTTGTTTTGTTTTTTTCTTTAATGATTCCGAATTGAAATAACGAACGACTACCGATTTTGTCGTTTTCCAAAGCAGTAGCTTTTTCCTTCCACTTTTGTGGGCCCGATTTATGTTTATATTCCATAATTAATTAAACAATATTAATTTATTAATATTTTATGATTGTTTATTTTAAAAGCAGTTTAAACACTACAATTTTCGCGCAAAAATTTTTCAAACAGAAGTGGCCTGATGTGGGCGTGTTCAAAAATTGGTAAGTAAAGATCATAGATTATAAATAATGAATATAAATGATATATATCTTCAGCAAGATAATATTAGAAAATCATAATTATGTTGTAATACATAAAGTTATGTAGTACATTATGTAGGCTTAAAATTTTGAAAACTAAATTAAGCTAATTTAAATTGTAGCGCGCGATCATTGAATTACATATAGGAATTTTAATTCAATGGTTTGGCGTAAGTTATTTATTCTCTAGTTGTGTGAGTCGTTGGTCGTTCAATTTATTTATTTCAGCATATGATAGTGCTGAGATCAGTGAGGAGTTTTATTATGCGTCTACAATATAAAAAATATTGAAAATGTCATATCAAATATAGGGGCCGTTCACTATTATGTAGCGATCCGTAAGAAGGGGATCTAACTAAGATTTCCTTATGAAGTGTTATAATAGGGGAGGAGGGGTTTTGAAATTTATTACGTAAAATATTTTTTATGTAAAAAAAAAATAATTTCTTTTTAAATTTATCAAAAATTTTATTTTTTCATGGAAAACACGTATTTCGTATATTTCAGTGCAGATTTATGGGACAAATTATACTGTGTTATTTCACATTTTCATTTTAATTTTATAAACAGTTTATAATAAACTGCGCTATATAAATATAAATAATTGATTGATTGATAGATTAATAGAAAGGGTTTGTACAGATTATGATTTTATTGTTACGTAAGAAAGTGTTACTGAGAGAGAAAAAAGCCGTTTTTGTGTTACTTAATACTCGAACGGATACAAAATAAAATAAAACCAAACACTGCAACCTACAGATATTTGAGGTTAAATTTGATTGTAATTTTGATTAAAGTTCAGTTTAAAAAAACTAGACAATAATATCCATTTTATTGCCGTGAAAATATTTTCATGAATTGATTGACGAGAACAGCTCGGGCCCCTGCGACAGACCCTTAAAAATCGCCGGGCTCTTCAATATCGCCGGGCCCCTGGGCATTTGCCCCCCCCCCTCTCGGCGGTACTGACCACCGCAATCTCGATCTCCTTATCAATGTCACAATGTCCTCATTCAGTCCCATCATTGACATCAGCTCTGTACTACTCCTCCTATCCTTCACTTTAATCCCACACATCATCCTCACCATAGCTCTTTCAGCTCTCTGCAGTACACTTTCTTCCTCTCTCCTCAACACCCAAGTTTCACCACCATATACCATCGCTGCTCTCACACATGCTTTATATACACTTTCATCTTCACTGACCAATTCTTTCCACACAATACCCCACCCAGTTCCCTAAATTTCATCCATCCCACACGAACCCTAGCCGTAACTGCGCTCAAACATCCTCTATCCGCGTTCAGTTTATCCCCTAAGTAAACAAAGCTTTCCACTCTTTCAATACCACCACTCAACCCCGTCCTTGCGTCCGTCCTATTAATTACACCATGAACACATTTCTTACATTTGAACGTGCCTTCCACCTTTTTCAGTGCCCCCCTCACACCACTACATCTCTTATGCACCCATTTCTAACATCCTATACACAATACCGAGTTAGCCTTCACTCTCCTGTCACATACCCCACAGGGGTCTATTTTACTTATCACTCGCTCACCACCTTCCCCACTCACCATTACCTTCGTCTTACCACTATTAACTTTTAACCCTTTCTTTTCAATAACACTTTTCCATCTGTCAAATTTTAACTGCAATTCTTCCAAGCTATCAGCCATCAAGACTAAATAATCTGCATACAAAACCTCAAATAACAACCCCTCCATTATGTTTCCACACACATCATCCATCACAATTGCAAACAGAAACGGTGATAACACTGATCCTTGATGCACTCCTACCTTAACACTAAAAGCGACCGACATCCCCCTTCCAACCCTCATCTTTGTCTTTGCCCCTTCATACAGCTGCATCACAGCTTTAACAAGTCTCTCATTCACTCCTTTCTTCCTCAACGCCCATTCAATGACCTTCCTCGGTACTCGATCAAAAGCCTTTTCTAGATCCACAAAACACATGTACAATCATCGTTTCTTCTTTCTATAATTCTTCTGCAACATTCTCCCCATGAACAACGCATCCACCGTTCCCCTACCAGGCATAAACCCACACTGCATTTCATTAACTGTCACCATATTTCTCAACCTCCTCTCAAGCACCCTCTCCACTACCTTCATTATGTGCTCTAGCAATTTCACACCCCTATATGACCACAATCTCTCACGTCTCCTTTGCCCTTATACAACGGCACCAACACACTGTGTCGCCAATCCTCAGGTATACCTTCATCATAAAACATACTGTTAGCAATTCTCATCATAACTTCAATTCCTATCACCCCACTCGCTTTTATATTTTCTGCCGCCACTTCCGAAACCCCTGTCGCCTTACCAAGTTTCATTTCTCTAACTGCTTTCTCTACTTCCTCCATCGTCACCTTCCCTATAGGTCCGTGTGTGACCGCGGATTCCACATCTCCATCCCACTCATTCTCTTCATTCATCAACCTTTCCATATGAGCTTTCCACACCTGAGCTTTTTCCTCCTCATCTATGCACAACTTGCCAGATCCATCCCGAACACATCCATTCCCTATAACATCTTTCCTATCCTTCATTGACTGCTTTGCTATTTTGAACATTTTCCTCGAGCTCACATCAAATTCCATTTCCTTCATTAACCTATCTGATGCTTTCGTCATTGCAGTTGCCACTGCCTCTTTTGCAGCTTTCTTAGCCTTCCTATACTCAGACTCCGCTTCCTCCGTCATGTCCCTTCTCCATACCCTAAGCCTCTCCTTCTTGACCTCCAAAACCCTTCTTATATCTTCATCTCACCACCACGTCTCACCATGCCTACACTTTCCTTTCGTCCATCCACATACTTTATCTGCCGTAGCCAACACACAGTCCCTGTATCTCTCCCAAACATCTCCATCCTTACCACTCTCCCAATTTTCAGCCACCTTCACTTCAAATGCCTTCCTCACCTCTGCATCCTGCAACTTCCATGTCTTTCTCTTTGCCACAAACTTATCCTTCTTCCTCCTCCCCATTTCTTTTGATGTCACATCCATCACAACCATACTATGCTGCAGCATACCAGGTATCGCCTTCACATTCTTCACATACTTCCTATGTTCGGCCCTTGGTGCTAGATCATGAGCATGTATATTTTTTTATCAACGTGTAAATTGATATATTTCTTGCTTGTTGATTATAAAACATCTACCTTGCTATAATTAGTAATTATTTTAACTTGTAGTTAGATCAGTCCTACTTTTTTTATTTCTGGATTTCGGTTTTGTTTGTTATATAATTGCAAAATGTTTGATTTACATAATTTATATATATATATATATATAAATATATATGTATATAATAAGAGGCGATAGTTATATATATATATATATATAAATGAATAACAACCTATATTTTAAAATTAACTCATTATATTGTTGAAAATAAAATAAATGAATAAATTTAAAAGAAAAATTATGAATAAAATTGTTTGTGTATTATCGTAGTTGAAGTGTAGAAAGTTAGCATAGTGACAAGAAGTAATGTAGAAATTATGGGAAGTCGATAATAATATTTAATGATATGACAATTTATTGAAGAATTATTAGATATTTAAAAAATAAAAATAAATATTTAAAAAGATATTTATTCATTTTAATATCTAATATTCTATTTTCTATTTCTTATAATTTATATTATTAACTCCTCATTTGGTTTTACAATCTAGGCTCCGACGATGGCATTAGCCGAAACGGCCGTCAGCCAAACTTCACAGTTTAATAGAGTTGAAACAAAACAGCTTCGTGTTGTTGAAATTTTATTTAAAAAACGTCTAACTGCAAAATGGGGTGTAATCTTCAACCGTACATGTTTATCTGAGAACCTCATACCAAATTATATATATATATATATATATATATATATATATATTTACAATATTTTATAAATTCCACCGAACGTTTGGCGTTAATATGTTTGTAGTTCGTTTTTTCGATTTTTCTCACTAAAGTTTTTTGGTAAATATATATACATATATATATATATAGATAAAACTAAGGTTGTAGAATTTGCTTCTGATGTAGTCTATTAGAAGCACTGTACAAATTCAATAAAATAAACAATTGATTTGATAAATTTAAATTGTATAATTTTTGTTGCATTTTATTATTTAATTTACTTTTGTTAAAACTGCATGTTGATAGAAAACTCTTTAGTTAAGTTAAAACGTCTTAATGTTGTACATGATGATTTTTTTTTATTAATTCATAATAGTGGTTTGCATTCTGTACATCATTGAAATGATTTTCCATGTTAAATAAATCTTTGGTGACACATTGTGGGAGTATGTTGCTTTCAATTACCAGTTTTTTCTTAAAACAATAATCATTTATTTTTAATAATCTTTCTGATTCTTGGCAGATCTGAAAATCATTAAAATTTAATGCATAAACCAGAAAATAAATAAATGTATCATTTTACTTTTAATACTTCTTTTGAGGGATATGTCAATTGTCCATTGTCTTTTAGTATGAGATGATTCGCTAAATATGTTTCTGCTGACTGAAATCAAGCATTTTCTGCATATTTGTAGGGATTTGTAACAGCATATTAATGCAAAATTTTGAATGAATTTTGGAAATGTTTACATTAGAAGAAAAAAGAACCTGCATTCTGCACATGAGATGGTCAGTGTTATTGACTTCACCACCCATCCTGCCATGTATGCAGTGCAATTGCTGACAATATACTGCACAGACGCATGCTCCACAAATACGTTGTCATCAAAATCTGCCCCAAAAATAATGTTACTAAGCAGTTCTTCTGTTTCAAATGATGACACATTTCCTTTGTTACCTGTGAATTGCAGAGTAGCTTTAAATCTATTCAGTTTATAATTTTCATGTCAAAATTATTTAGTATAACTGTTAAAAATTTGCAGCAAATCTTTTTTTAAATGTCGCTGAATTGTTGGCAATTTATGCGACTGCAGCATCCACCTGTATTAATTAATTATTATTAATTAATTAATTTTTTATGTTATTTCATTATTATAACTCAATTGATGCAATTCACATCCTTCGGCAACTGCAAGAGAAATACCTCGCAAAGCATCAACAACTATCACACATTTTTGAAAACCTTTAAGAAGCATTTGATCGAGTTCCCCGTGAAACAATCAGGTGGAGTCTACGTCGACAACTCATTCCAGAATATCTTGTTCGACTTGTGATGGAAATGTATACAAATACTAAGACTCTTGTCAGCACAACGGTTGGAAACACAGATGCATTTGACATCGGCGTTGGAGTTCACCAAGGCTCGATTCTCAGTCCACTGTTATTTATAACTGTGATGGAAGAAATCACAAAACCGATACGCATTGGTGACATTTGGAATCTAATATATGCTGATGATATCGTTTTAACAGCCACGTCTGAGCAGAATGTTTGAAAATTGGAACACCAGACTCGCCGATCATGGATTCAAAGTCAACATCAGCAAAACCAAAGCAATGAACACTGAAGAACCCATCCAATCCACAGCTACTGGACGATGGCCCTGTTCAGTTTGTAAAGCTGGTGTAGGTAACAATTCAATCAAGTGTCAGCAGTGTAACCAGTGGTGTCACAAACGTTGTTCAAAAATAATTGGTACTTTATCTAATTTTGTTTGTCCTGCTTGCATCAATCCACAACAGCAAATTCGAAATAGCAATGTCTTTAAAGCCATTAAGGTAGAGAAAGTCACATCGATTTAATATCTAGGGGATGTTCTAGATTGTACTGGAACAGCCTAAGCTGCCGTTCAAGCACGCATACGTGCAGCCTGGAATAAATCGCAACTCCTTGCCTTTATATTGATGCGGCGTGACATCCCACTACCACTACGATCAAGACTTTATAAATCTGTGATACGTCCGGTGTTGTTATATGATGCAGAAACGTGGCCAATGACAACCAAACTGGAACAACAACTTCAACGAACCGACATGAAAATGCTCCGATGGATGCAACGAATTAGTCTGAAGGACCACATCAAATCTACCGAAATCCTGCGTCGTGCTGGATTAGATGATATAAAGGACGAATGCCGGCAACACCGTCTGCGGTGGTTTGGTCATGTCAAACGAAGTGGAAACAGTGTCATAACTTCTTTTGCAGATGTTGAAGTACCTGGCACACGTCCCAAAGGCCGTCCAAAGAAGTCCTGGTCGCAAACAATCGAGCAAGACATGAAAGCTCTAAATTTTAATGAAATGGATACAACTGATCGTCTAATTTGGCGCAAAAAGTTGATGGCAAAGAAAACAACGTCCTACCTCGGGAAACCGGGTCTCTGGACGCAAAACGAAGATTGATTGATATGACTTAAGTCAGAAAGCTTAATGCCTGATCTTCTTACATAGTTGAAATAAAGTTCCATTGCATCCTGACTGAAACGGTAAGTCATGGGAAAAGGTTGTTCATTCAACAATTCTTTCGAAATATCAATTATTGAATTTATGGTTGTACATAAGACCATTATGCACATTTTTCTGAAATTGTTGGTAATTAGTTTTAATTTAGATATTGAAATATATAAAAAAAAGAACCTTTGAGTTTTGTAAATGTTAACACCATCTAAATTTTTCAAACTTAGTAAGTAGGCTTTCATTTCATAAAGTTTATCTATAGTGGCTGTAAGGTTGCTCTTTTAATGGATTGCTTCCATTCTCTATCTAGCATCAGTTTGCTGTTCAATATATGGAAAAGATCATTGATGTTTTTCACAAAAGCTATTGTTTCAGAAACGTCAGAAAAAACATAAAATTTGTTTAAGAGTTCCATTGATTTAGCTACAGAGCAACTAATGACTTGAGATGCATATTCAAATTTCATCTTATGCTTTTCAAAATTTACATGTTTTTTGGTTAATTTATTTTGTAATTTCATTTTTAATTTCATTTTGATTTGTTGTTGATAATTAACTAAGTTTACGATATGATTCCATTTGATTGGATTATTATCATAAAATATTATATTATAAAAATGAAACATATTCCTCATTAATTTCAGCATGTGGCATGCATCAAATATGATATATATGATATTTTCTGGCCGGTTTTTTGGGGACAAGGAACTTGTTTGCATGTTTGGAAATGTGAAAGAGCATCCAAGCAATCCACATGCCGAAACGTTAGTGGCCAACCCATCCATTACCAGTGAAACAACCCTAAAAAATAAATATAATGTATAAAAATTTTAACATATTTTTAAGAATAACAAATGTTGTTTACCCTAACTCCATCATTATGTAACTTATCAATGGCTTTCTCTATAAAATCTTTCAACTTGTGAGATGATAATTTATTTGTATAAAAATAAGGTATTGAATGCCTCCAAGTTTCTCTCAGACCAACAACACAAAAAACCAACACCTCTGAAGCAACTATGTCCTCATTCCCATCTCCATAGTTAACATATCCAATAAAGTCATCTTCACAAATAAACAATGCGCTTGATAATTTATGCTTAACATTTAACAATTTAACATCAATAAAATTAAAAAAATTGAAGACAAATGCTTATAGTGAAATGGGAAAAAAATCAAGAAATAAATAAAATACACAAGGAATAAACTAGCATATGCAACCAAAATATGCTATATTTTAAACTCACAAATTTATAAACAGAATATATTTTAAAAATCCTACCAATTTTCCTATTATACGTTATTTGAGGCTTTATTGATATCGAATCAAGGATTAAAGAGCATTTGCAATATTTCATTTGCAGAACATATTTCTTTATATAACAATACTAGTTTACAGAATATAATTATTAACAAAATTTTACTTGTTCAATGTTCTCGAGTGTGGCAGTGTTAGTCCACTTTTTCTTAAAAATTGGTATGCATGAGGACCATGAAAATGCAGCTGCATATAAAAGGTCTTGTAACTATCATTATATACTTTGTTAATTCTTTTAAATGATATGAGTTTTTTATCTAGAAGCAAAAAAAACAAAATATTAATCAAAATTTCAGTTCATTTTGCTATGGTTTTATAACATAAAATCTTTGTATGTAGCTAATTCATTACATTCATTCATAAGTTTTCTTATTGTCGCCTGCAGCATTGTGATTCTGGACTTGTAATACTTTGATTGCCTTTGCTGTTGCTTGATGAGATGTACATCCATTGAGCAAAACGTCTAAATATGATTTAAATTTGAAAGTAAATAGCTGCATTTAAAATTTTTCATCATATATGCCCAATAAAAATAAAAAAAAGAAACTCTTTGTATTCTGTATTTTTTATGAAAAATATTTGAACATTAATTAACGATAGTTAAAAAAATAAAAAGTCAAAAATTTAAAATAAAAATACAAAAAAGCAAAGCCTCTTTTCTTCTACTAGTCTGGGCCTAGTGTCTCCTGTGGCACAATGTAACATTTTTGAAACTTTTAAACAAATGAACTTTATAAAATCAAAATGGATCAAATAATTCCAAAAATTTTACATAATTCAGTTGAATTATTAAGTTAAAAAACGATTAAAACTGCCATAGAATGATTTTAGCAGCAAAAAAACGTTTACAAGAATGCCGCCGGTGGCACGTTAACAGGGAAGAAGCTAAATATAGATTGGAAAACTAAAAAACCAATTGAAAATTTGGTGCTAAAAAAGTTTGCTTCCAAGTTTCCTGACCTTGAGAAGAAGGTCAACACTATAAAGCCATTCTTATATATAATTCAATGCTCTCTACCTACTTCTCTGATTAATTCTCCATCACTTGCGAAGTTCAGAGCGGATCTCAAGACCCATCTGTTTTTAAAATTCATTGAGGAGCGCTGTTGAACATCGCGGAAATAGCGCTTTATAAGCTGATTGATTGATTGATTGATTGATTGATTGATTGATTGATTGATTGATTGGTTGATTGATTGATTGATTGATTGATTGATTGATTGATTGATTGATTGATTGATTGATTGATTGATTGATTGATTGATTGGTTACATTGTCCAAGATAAGTATTAACTCGCTAAAAAATAGTGCCGAAAATTGAGCAGAACCTGGCCTGTATATGGCAAGTATTATAAAATCTTGACTCTCGTGGATCAATCTGACTGCCAAAACCTCAAACGTCGTAACCACAGGTATTTCCGTCCTTTTGTATCTAAAGATCGGAAAAAATTATTAAGCCTCCATGAGAAAGATCATTGACATCCAAAAATCGATAACCAAGAGGCATAGATAATCCCGCTGAAAGGTTGTCAGATGATCCACGCAACGTCTCCGTTGCCACAAATATGTCCAAGCTTCCGGCTATCAAACTGTAAATTACGTTAAACTTCCTTTTTATCGACCTGATATTTATTAAACCCAATTTCAGTTTAATTACATTACAAGACCACCAACAGCACCATCACCAACAGCACCATCACCAACCAAACCACGCTCAGTCTTTTCATTATCACCTAAATTAACACCACCATAATCATCAAAATCACCGAAACCTGTTTTACTTCCGCCAACCGCACCACCAATAGCAGCAACAGACTCATTATCAGCTATCTTCCACCTACTTCGAACTTCATAATCTTCCAACGTCGCCTCTTACCCTGAATTAAAAGTCATCGTTAGTTGCCTGAAGTGATTTGGCCTTTGCAAAAAGCTTTTTCAATTCATCTCTTTGATCTCTGGTCAAATCATGGCTAATACTAATATGACCAAACTCATCATTCAACAATTTTAATCTAAAAAGGTTTTTCATTACAAGATTTTTAACTCCAACATTTTATCATCCTGATTAAAATTGGTTTGATTGATCCTTCAGTCTTTTATCCCAATCTAATTATTTTAACAACATCATTAACCCCAATGGTATGCTCTGTCAACTGACGCAATATCTGTATAACTTGATCTTTATAATTATCCTTTTCAGGCAGCCTAAGCAACATGAAGTTGGGTTCTCTTTCCCTAACATCGTTGACCTGAACCAGCGTTTTTTTCACATCTGTATTAACATCATTGACCTGAACCAACGTTTTCTTCATTTCAATACTAACATCATCAATACCTATATTAACAACCCCAGCAAAAGAATTCCTTTTTAAGAATTTGCATCTTCTCTTCAAATCAATCGTGATTGTTCAGCTTCGATTTATTTGAATCCATCACAGCTTTCATGGCCACCATTTCAGCTCTGATCAAGTTATTTAAAACGCTCAAGCTATCAACTTTAGTTAAACAACTACTTTGTTACTGTGAGCAGGGATACGTTGATGTTGACTTTGAGACACGTATCACAAAACCATTTAAAATTTACATGGTTTTGAAAGAAAGTATACATACACATCGTCAGGCAACTCACAATTTGACGTACACTCGCATTGTAAACATTGCAATTTTCTCAACGACTGCGAAACGTCTTACTTAACTTTCGCACGTGTATTTATTGAAGCAGTATCCATTATAACAAGCAGAAGTAATGTATATTTATAATGTACACTTTAACGTCTAACAACTTTAGAACCTGAATTAAACACGTGACTCAAATAACTTAAAAATAAAATTTAGCAATTTCGCATTCAATTATGAAACAATATAACCAAAACGATAATTTAGTTAATTTCAGTAACATGAAATAAAGACAAACTAATTAATACACTTTTTACAACAAAAAACAGTACCAAATAAAGTAATTTACGATATTTTGCAGCAAAATAAACAAGGCAGCCAAACAAAGTAAGTATGTATGTATGTATATATATATATATATATATATATATATATATATATATATATATATATATATATATATATATATATATATATATATGATGGTAATAGACCATAATTGGTTGGCATTAATCAACTCAACTTAAAGTTTGTCTTTTTAATTTTTCTTTCCTTATTAAAAATTTCTGGAAATTGTTCAATTTGTTGAAAATAGATGCACTGAAGATGATTTATGAAAAATCGAAATAAGGCCTCTATTTGCATGATGAATTCGGATAACAACAATTTCATTAAATTTTCAGAAAATTCTATTAAGGAAATTTTAAGACAAACTTTAAACTGCTTAATGCCAACGATGTTGTAGAATTCATATCAAATTGTATAAAATATGATCGCCTTCCAGCAAATATATTCCCAAATATCTAAACAAAATTCTGACCCCATACCTTCCTAGTAACTATAATCTCTAATCCTCATGGAAATTTATCAATCTATTGAACACTAACAAAAAATCATCAAATCATATTGTTTTTCTGGATGTCGATTCTTTGTTTACAAATGTTCCCGTCCATGACACAATTGATATTATCATCAATAGTGTTTATCACTCCGACATGGTTTTCTTAAAATTTCCAAAAACCAACCTCTTTTCCAAATCTGCAATGAAGCACCTTTCCACACTCTTACAGGCAAGCAATACAAGCATATTGACAGTGTAGCCATGGGCTCATCCTGTTTGCAAATATCTTTTTAGGACATCTTGAGAGCAAAAACGTTTATAAATAATCTTGATTTAAAAACAAACATTTATGCCAGATATTTTGACGATATCTTCGTCGCAGACAATGATCCGGAACAAGTCAACCAGCTACTAGCAAACCTGAACCAATCAAAATTGAATTTTACCATCGAGCTCGAAAGTAAAAATTTATTGCCGTTTCTGGATATTTTGGTAACACATGACGAACAAAGATTTACAATGATGTCTTACAATTATTGTAGTATATCTTGAGTTTTAACCATTGAAGACGAGTTGGACACAGCGCCTCAATGGAAGCTGCAAATGTTACAAAGGTTCGTTCTATCACAATTGGCCTTTGAGCTTCGCACATAAATATTCCGCTGACATGGATTGCAGAAAGACTGGATATATTGGTCGACGAGGCAGTAAGAAACTGGCTGTTGTTACCAATCAAAAGCTCGCCAACAGGAATCCCATTTCAACCAACAGTCACGACTAGCTTGCCAGAGGAAAATCATTAGAGCAGTTGAAGAACACATTTCCGCAAGTCAAGTTACCCGATGGTCAAAATTTACTGCCAAGCTCCCAGAGGTTTTATTCAAATTTAGCAATTATCTTAAAACTCACAAATTTCGCAATTATCTTAAAACTTCCTTTAAATGCAAACTTATCCAGCTGTGGTAAGTCGTCTAACGCGTTTTGTCCGCTTTGAAAGGCGCTCCAAACAAACAAGCATGTTTTGTCAAATTGTAGCGGCTCTGTAAAGATTCACAAGTCGTCACGATAAAATACTATCCTTTATTTTGAAAAAGATCAGATCGTCTGCAAAGCCGAAGGTGACATTTTTTGCTGATACGAACAGCAATTAATTTTTTCCAGTATCATCTCTGTTTAGATCACTTGATTCTAATATTCTCTTCTACACGGAGAAACGATCGAAATCAAGGAACTACAAAATATCTAAATATTCTCAAAATCTCAATAAAAACTGTAATGACAATATAAATCACTTAAAAACAATAATTAAAACTTTAAAAATTTTCCCATATATCACTTGTCAAGTAAAATTGGTCTGGTCAATTTTAAAATAATTTAGGCAACTCGGCAACATATGCCATTTATTGTGACTGTAACTGTCAAGTAAAATTGGTCTGGTCAATTTTAAAATAATTTAGGCAACTCGGCAACATATGCCATTTATTGCCTTTTCAAACTTCTCGGCGTTAAAGCATCAATACCAGTCTGTCACATTTCCAAGTATAATCCAAAATTTTCATAAGTAATTTTTTAAATGACAATTCAGCTTTTTGAAATAGAAACATCAATGAATGCAAGCCATATAAAAATTTTTTTAGATAACTATTTGTATTTGAGAGTTGCAGAAAGTTTAATAAATTTTATTTGATACATATATTATGTTATAACCTGTCAAACATACAAACCACTAAGATGAAAATAAAAAAAATAACCCTAACCCGCATGCCGAATTCGACGTTGAGATGCTATAAGGCGTGCGAATCACGAACGGGCGAATACGACGTTTAAAATCATAAATCTTGAGGAACCCACACGTCGACTTTGAGATGCTATAAGGCGTGCGAATCACAAACGGGCAAATACGACGTTCGAAATTATATATCGTGAGGAACCCGCACGTCGAAATGTTATGAATCGTGCGAATTACGAGTGGGCGAATACGACGCTTAGACGGTGAAAAGCGTGAGATTCGCACGACGAATTCGACGTTGAGATGGCTAAAGTCTGTACAACAAAGTTGACGCTATTTTGACGATACAGGACGCAGTCAAAGCGCAAAATTTGACGTTTATTAAGACAATATAAAGCATTTTTGTTATGGAATGACAATTTTTAAAATAAAAAATTTATTGCATCAATTGTCGTATAGTAACACAAACAGACAAACACATATATTTACACAGTAATGCACACGGGTACATTGTTCAGGTGTTAAGACGAAAGTTACCAAAAGACCCAAGATCGTTATATCAACACTGTCGACAAAACCACGTCCCTTTTGGTAGCCTTTTCATTTCAACACATGAATAGTGAGTGGTACCAATTTACGCAGCCATCACACTGCACCCCCGAAGTACGAGTTTGGTTGTCTCTTCCAGAGTGATGTCTACAAACAACACAAACATACAAATTTTGTCCAATTGACCACATCTTATTTTCTAATTTTGTCCATGCTTCATTGGAAAAGTATTGTTTCAAAGTGGACATATTAGCATGGTCATCTGTGCATCTTGGATCAATTATTTCTTCAACATCGTTAATTGATGCTATGCAATCCGTCTGAACACAGTTTTTGGCTGTTTCTTCAGATAACTATTAATAAACAAAATTTAATTACCATTAATAATTATTAAAAACTTCATTTTAATTTTTTAAAGTATTATCACTTGCAACATACAACAATAAACAAAATTTTATTATCACTAATCATTATTAAATATTTCAATTTAATTTTTATTACTACCTTCCGATCTTTGCAGTATGCCGTATTAACTGCTGCAGTGCAACCACACAAGGAAACTTTCTATCACATCAACGGCTTTTTCAACATTCACAAATCCATCTCCTAACTTTAATGACTCGGAACTCATTTTTTCAAATTAGAGTAATAAAATAACAAATTTTATTTTATTTAATTAAATTATATCAAACAAAACAATAAAAATCAAGCGAATCCTCAAAAGCCTCCCCGCTCACAACTGAAAGGAAGAAGGAAAATGAACTCTTACCAAAGATAATAAATAATTGTATTACGACGCGCAAATAAAAATTTATTTAAAAAAAAATTTTTTTTTAATTTATTTTCAATTGTAAGTAACGGAAATTTTTACAAATACTTTTCAAAATAATATTCGGAATAAAAAATAATTTTTAAACATATTTTTCGTTAGCACGCCCGATAGATTTACCGTTTTCAACTGGCTGCGATGATGTTGAGGGTAACTGAAATGTTAAGTTATTAAAGTTTTATTAACACATGGACGCTTTTGAATATATGTTGTTATTTGCAAGGCATCTAATTAATATCTTTAAGGGGATAACTTCGGTCAGAACGACAAAACAAATGTTTAAATGTTTCTCTCTTATGCATACAACATAAACATGCCTCTTATGTTTTAATATAAATATAACAAAACTTAACGTAAAGCAAACTTTTAAAAATATTTAATAAAAACTGAAATTTGTAATACTTAGTGGCTTAAATTGTAACACAATCTTGATAATATATAGATATAAAAATACGAACCAAATTTACACTTGACATCATGTCAGTTATTAACGTTGCAGAAATATTATGGTAAACTGACTTTAAATCTGAAGAAGGTTAAAACTACAAAATGTTAAAATTATTATAGAACCAGATTATAGGTTACAAACTTAAAAAATTAAAATAAGTTTATTCTTGGTATATAATAAATCATAACATAAATAAAGAACACTTGGGGAAAATTATGCCGACAACAATATCTTAATTTCAAAATTATAACTTAAAAACATTTAAATTATACAACTGAAACTTGAAATGATTGGTTTTTA